TGTAGAACATTGTCAGCGTTCCAGGAGTTTGTATGAGGCTTTTCCCGTTTGGAATTCTGCCCTGGGGTGCCCTCCTGGCTGTTAAGAATTTTACTTTGACCTAGTTTTGCTTTTCTAGAAACAAAGTGTTTAAACTGTTTTTGAAATTTGTGGCAATTGTTCTCTGTGTGATGTTTTATATAAGAACCATCCTATCTATAAAGCTGTGATTCACTGTTCTTTTGTATGAATATGCCATTTTCATTCATTTTAACCCTTGGGGCTAGAGAGATGGCTCAGTGGCTAAGGGTGTATATAGTCCTTGCAGAAGACCTGAGTTCTGTTCCCAGTGCCCACATCAGGTGCTTATAAACTTTCACCCCCCCACCCCATAACATGGGAGCTAGGGTATCTGACACTCTCTTCTGGCTTCCTCGGATATTTGCACAGGTATGCACATGCCCCAACACAGACACATAAAACTGAAATAAATCTTTTTAAAAAATTGTTTTTCTTCTTGATAGACTTCTGAGCTGTTTTTTAATTTACAATAAGACAGCTTGTGGTCTGAGCTATCTAGGAGGCTGAGGCTGGAGAATACTTGAGGTTAGGAAGTCAGAACTAATCTGGGCAACACAGTACCATCCCATCTTGAAAAAAAAAACAAAGCTATTATTCTTGCTTTATTCTTGTATTTGCCATTTAAAAATTTGATAACAACTAAGAACGTGCAGTATGCAGTGCCTGTATATATAGCATCTAATTTAGCTCTCATTTTAGATCTGGAAACTGAAATATATCATCTGTTTTATAACAGAAAACCAATGGGTGCTAGGGCCTGTCACTTCTCCATACTGGCATTTCTAAAATTACTGAAATACTTAAACTTCTGAAAGTCTTTGGATAGCTAGAGGAATGTCATTCCGCACCAACAGTATCTAAACTTGGCTTTAAACACAGCACATGCCACATAACTTTGTTTCAAAGTCTAAATGCTGAACTTTGGTTCAGGGCTATGCAAACTGAGTGTGCCCTGTTCCTGAACTGTATACAGTTACTCCTTCTCTAAGATGAGGTTTTAGGAGAAGCCTCTTATGCTGTAGGCCAGTCTGATGTTGACTTATGTGTGGAATGTGCTGATCTGTGTTGCTGTTAGAATGCTGCTCCCTGGGCATAGTTTTTTTTTTTTTTTATTAAGTGTAAGGGGTTTGTTTTGGTTTGTATTTTGTTGAGGAGTTTCATATAGTCCAGACTGGCCTCAAACCTCCTTTTAGCTGAAGGTGACCTTGAACTCCTGATCCTCTTGCCTTCATTATGACAATACTTGGCTTTAAAAGTGCAAGATTTTGAAAATGAATATATTTTAAGCAAGTTTCAGCTCAAATGAAAGTGACTATTAGTATAGTAGCAATGTTGAATTTTTTGCAACAGATTCAGTATTCTTTGAGGATATTTGTATATAAATATTTGAGATTTATACACCTGAAATCTGAAAATGCAGTTTGATGGGGAAAGCAAGATGGATGTTTCCCAAGGCATCCATCTTAGGAAACATCGTAAGGTCCATTGTTTACTTAACAAATAAAAAATCTGTGGGATTGCAAACATCTCTTGGTTGGCAAATACATTTCAGCCGGTTTATTGTGTTATACAAATACATAGTTCATAAATTATTGTGTTTTGATCAGTTGTTCTTGAGCAAAAGCATTGTGAATTTTTTCCTTCCCCTTCTCATCCCCCATGACTTGGAACTCACAGAAATGCACCTGCCTCAGCCTCCTGATTGCTGGGATTAAAGGTGTGTGCTATCATTCCTACTCAGTATTGTGAATTCTTAAAGTAGTATATGGGAATGAAAAGAAATAGCTTTATTGAAATTTGAAGAAAATTTGAATTTGGAGAAATGTAGGTTGGTAGGCAGTTAGTATGAATGGTAAAGAATCTGCATGTTAAACAGAGCAGCAGTGAAAAACGAGCAAATAAAGGCAAAACACAGTTGCTTTAAATGTGAAATTAATATTTGGAGGTAGATTCTAGCTGTTTGCATATAAATGAGAAACTGTGACATGTGTGGACTAAACCAAATAACAGATGTGAAAATGCTAGAGTGGCCTCGTGTCTGTGTGGCTGCACCATGGTGAGCAGTGGGGGTGTTTCCACAAAGGTTAGCTCTCTCCATGCACTGGCTACTGGAGGTTCCATTTCAAGGTGACTTCTTACTGGTGGAGGCCTTGGATCCAAGGGCAGTTAAACCTGTTTGGAGCTATGCTGAATCACTGGGTACTAAGTTACAGTTAGGGATGGTAGTTTTGGTGTGCCCTCGTACAGTAGTAAGGTGACTAGCCATGACGCTGTGCTCATGACCATTCCAGAAAGCTAGAAGAGAATCTCAGAGTTGTTACCTTAAAGAAATAATCAGTGTTTAAGGATATAGATTTGGTTTGTTTTTGAGTTTACTAAGGTCATCTGGCTATTACCAGAACAAGAGAGAGGAGGAACTATTAAATGTGGCATCATAGGGCCTCCAAGATGGAACTGGCACTGAGAAATGGTGATCAGACCACAGAAGGCAGAGAGGCAATCAGTGGAACCAGTAGGTGAAGGCAGTTTGCAAGAAAAAGAAAATTTAAAAAGAATGTGGAGCCAGGTGGTGGCGGCGCACACCTTTAATCCCAGCACTCAGGAAGCAGTGGCAGGAGGATCTCTGTGAGTTCAAGGCCAGCCTGGTCTACAAAGAGAGTTACAGGACAGCCAAAGTTGTTACACAGAGAAACACTATCTCAAAAAACCAAAAAAAGAAAAAGAAGCCTCATAAATTGATAAGCACTGCCGTCTGTAAATCATTATCTCATCAGTCCACAGAACCATGGAGACTAACTAAATTAAAATTCTGCCCTTCTAAAATTGTATTATGTAAATACAACACAAAATTCTCCTTTATCCCTTCCTGCCAACGTGACTACTTTAAAAAGTATTATTTTATATATCAGGGGTTAAGTATCCTTTACCCTAACCAGACACATTTAAAAAAAATTCCTCTCTTTGTTTTCTTCAAAGCAGGAAGACTCTAACCCTGCTCAGACAGACACTGTGGCCACTTTTGTAGTAAGTGTGTTCAAGACATAGACCTGATTAGCTGCAGAGCATACAAAACTAAACCTTACTTTGCAGTCCAGAGGTAAGCCTAACATGCCTTAAAAAAGAACAGTTCATGCAGTAAGCAAACAGTCAAGGAAAAACAAAGAAGAGAAATTGATAGTTCTGCTATAATTAAAATACAGAGTTGAAACAAACACTCCTTAATTCACCCATGTCTAGAGACAAGTAAAGATGTTTGTCTTCAGAACTGAAAAATACTGCCGGTCAGTGGTGGCGCAAGCCTTTAATCCCAGCACTGGGGAGGCAGAGGCAGGCAGATCTCTGTGAGTTCGAGACCAGCGCTGTTCTACAAGAGCTAGTTCCAGGACAGACTCCAAAGCCACAGAGAAACCCTATCTTGAGGGAAAAAAAACAAAACAAAAACAAAAAACCCTGAGAAATATTGAGATTTAACTAGATCAAAGGAACTCTTTGACTTATTCTGCTCAATCGTGTTATAAGGAATATACAATGAGTTAAATTCACAATATCCAATGGATACTTTTTAAAAAATTAAAAGCTAAATAAGCAAAAAAGGCCACACTTAACGCTGACAAGATAGTAGTAGGGAAGGAATTAATTGGCTGTCAAACCCAAGGACTTGACTTGGATCAAACACATAGTAGATTTCATTCCTGAAAATTATCCTCTAACCAACACACACAAGAACCAAAGTATCAAAAGTTATCAAAGTATGCACTCTCTCTCTCTCTCTCTCTCTCTCTCTCTCTCTCTCTCTCTCTCTCTCTCTCTCTCTCTCTCTCAATGTAAAAAAAGAAGTACATATGTGTGCATTTGGGTGTGTCTCCCCACAGGATGCTGTAATACATGTATGCAGTCTGTAAAGTCAAAAATACAGCTGAGCATTGGTGGCACGTGTCTTTAATCCCAGCACTCGGGAGGCAGAGGCAGAGGCAGGTGGATCTCTGTGAGTTTGAGGCTAGTCTGGTCTACAGAGCAAGTGTCAGAACAGGCTCCAAAGCCACAGAGAAACCCTGTGGTTATAGTTGCTCTGAGGCCTCTGTGAACCATCTTTACCACCCATGCTGCTGCTTATCTTAGAGTCTCACCACTGTCTTAGTCGTGGTTGACTGACTGCTAAGACTTCCTTGGTTTGCAACTTGTGCATCCAGTATCAGGTATCTTCAGTTAATGTGCACAGTAGGTTGCCAAGAGTATGAGCCTTACCACAGCAAACTTGTGTGTAGGTGACACTGGTCTGAAGAATGACTGGAACCTTCCTGGCTCTCCCTGCTTTGCTTTTCTAGACTGTCAGCAAGTCAGCAGTTCAGCAGCTGGAAGTCAGCAGTCAGTCCATGCCTGACAGGGATTGCTTGTGAGATGTTTGTTGTTTCCACTCAATGCTAGTTATTTGGGTGGAGGAGGGCTCCCAACAGCTGAATCCACAGAAGGAAAGCCAACAGAATACATTCAGTTTCTGTGTATGTTTCTAGGCTGTGGATGGATGGATGGTCACTTGAAGGTTTCTAGTATGCTGTACCTGCTTTTCCTAGAGTTCGTTAATCATAGTTACTGTGGGTTGTCTGAGAACAAAGGACTCGATTGAAACAGGAAAATGGTATCAATCTTAATAATGGCAACTATTATGTTTTAACCAGTTACTTTTAAATAAAATGCTTATTAAACTAATTCATAGTTTATAGTTACAGACTCTATTCCATGTTCACTATTACAACATTGATCCTTCATTGTCAAGTCATAACTCAGAATAATAATTCATTAAGTCAATGGGTTTGTGAAGTTGTTGACTTTCAGTATTTGCTTTTTTGGGTAATAGTCACTCTTATTTGGTTACAGATTTAAAAGATAAATGATTGCAAGGATAGTGCAGTTGACTCACTTGCATTTCCTCCTCTTCCTAGACCTGCTCCAGGCTCTGGATCAAAGTGGTTCTTTTCCTCCCCACTGACTTGGAACTGGAAACAGAAAAGAAGCAATCATACTTTCCTTTTAATCGACCCGAGACTCCAAGGATAGACACCCAGTGAAATAAAATTATTTTGACGGCCATTCCTCACTTTGAGGGTAGACGCTGTGGAGCTCCCTGCCTGGAGCCTTGGAGCCTTGGTGGTGCTTGCTCAGGCCTTGGAGTGAAAGCATGAGTGAATTCTGGTTGTGTTTCAACTGCTGTATTGCAGAGCAGCCTCAGCCTGTAAGTATTTCTTTGATTTGGATGGGGGCTGTTGTGTCAAACTGAAAACTATGGTTGTAGGACTGTCACAGAGAATAGCTCAGAGTTGGGACTCTGAGCATCTGTCAGGAAAAAAAAAAAAGGCTCCTGAGCTTGGTGGCATACACCTATAATCCAGCACTCCAGTCAGCAAAAGTGGAGGAACACTGTAAGTGTGAGGCCAGCCTGATCTGCAAAGCAAGTTTAGGACTGGTCCATGCTTATATATCTTAAGGAAATAGTAGGCGTCAAGAACTGTGTTAGGAAGCCTGGTGTGGTGTACGCCTTTAACTCCAGCATTTGGGGTTTGAGATGAATTTCAGAGCAGTTAGAGCTGCATGGAGCTGCTGTAAGCCCCATCGTGTATCTCTGAGAGGGTGGCATTTCACAGCACTGACAGATGCAGGAACGGGAGGAGGCCTGTGTTAAGTACCATATCAACTATTAGATTGGTGCTGGGAAGGTATGGCAGCCAGGCCCCTGAAAGCTCTTCTCCGCTCACTAATTTCCTCCCCGCTCTTGTTTGCAGTTGTGGCAGGGTCACAACTCACACAGGTGTTAGGTGGCACTGGGTGATTTCTTCATACAATCCGTGCTGCCTGACTTATGTCAGCTTGATACAAGCTGGAGTCCTTTGAGTGGAAGGAACTTCAACTGAGAAATTGCCTCCATAAGACTGGACTGTAGGCAAGCCTGTGTGGTAGTGTCTTAATTGTGGAGGAGGGCTCAGCCCACTGTGGTTGTTGGTGCCACCCCTGGGCTGGTGGTTCTGGGGGTTATTAGAAAGCAGACTGAGCTAGCCATGGGTAGCAAGGCAGTAAGCAGCACCCCTCCATGGCTCTGCATCAGCTCCTGCCTGCTTAAGTTCTTAGCCCTTCATTCCTTCAGTGGTGGACTGTGATGTGAAAGTGTAAGCAAATAATAACCCTTTTCTCCCAGCGTTGCTTATGGTCGTGTTGTAGAATAGAAACCCTAAGACACAGCCCTATTTTTGTGCCTCTTAACGTTTATGCACAGGTTGGGGATGCAGCTCAGTGGTGCAGGGTTTTGGTTTGGAGACAGAGTCTTGCTGTCTAGGGTGACCCACAGCCTGTGATTCTCAGGAGACTGTTATAGGGTGCTGTACCATGGCTCTCGGTACCCATTCTGAATGGTGTAGAGGCTGGATTATGTTCCTTCGTGTCTTCAGGACCTAGTATTGCCTTGGGGAATGTGTTTATACATGCCAGCTGGTTGGCTGAACAAATAAATTTTTTTTGTTGTTGTTGGTTTTTTTTTTTTTCAAAACAGGGTTTCTCTGTGTTGTTTTGGAGCCTATCCTGAAACTCGCTCTGTAGACCAGGTTGGCCTCTAACTCAGAGATCTGCCTTCCAAGTGCTGGGATTAAAGGCGTGCACCACCAACACCCAACATAAGTTTTGTTTTTATTCAACTTTATAACTGTGCAAGGATGATGATGATTATATTTTTTCATTAAGTTAATAGTTAGTAGTCTGAGTAGGCATTTAAAGATTACCTGAGTTGAAGGTTCTAATTGCATGAAAATTGACATCTTTAGAGTTTTAAGTAATTGTGTTGAGAAGTGGATTTTGTTACTAAGTTTGTATATTTTCTGTTCATTTGTTCTAGATATTTTATGAACCTTAAGACTTTAACAATTGTATATGTTAGCTTTGTAATACACAAATGCAGTCTGAAACGCTGAAATGAGTTTAATAGTAACTTAGTACATGTTTATGTACTAAATATTTCTGAATACTACCTTATTTTTCAAAGCTTTTAATTATATATAACAAAATAAAACAACTGTTTTGTGTGAGGGGGAGGGCATGCCTTACTGCTCAAGTGGGGGTCAGAGACAACTTTTGGAAGTCAGTTCTTTACTTCCACCACGTGGGTTCCAGAGATCAAACTCAAATCGTTACCCTTGGTGACAGACCTTCACCCACTGAGTCAGTCAGCTCCTGCATGCATACTGAGTTCTTTATTTTCTGATAGCTAGTTATTTTCTCTTCCTGGAATCTTTGTTAAAACAGAATGTCTTCTGTTTATTCTTTGGCTGATAAATACATGTAGACAGTGTTCTGTCTCAAACCTTTTCTGCTCCTTTCACCTCTTCATGTCTTTTTTGGGGGGGGGGTCACTTAGTGCTGCCTCCTGGAATGCTGACTGATTCTGTTGGCTTTACCTTGGGCAGGTAATGACAGCTGCAGTGAATTGATGGGTGCTCTGGCCTTGTCATATACGGAAGACTGCATTTCTCAGCACTTCTCTGCATCCTTCTGCCCTGTGTTCTTTCTTTCCTTTTTTAAATTTTTTTTTTTTATTTTTTTGTTTTCCGAGACAAGGTTTGTTTTTGCATAGCCCTTACTGCCATGGACCTAGCTCTATAGACCAGGCTGGCTTATGTAGCAAGTTCCAGGCTGGCCAGAACTGTGTATATGTGTGCATGTGGAGGCCCAAGGTTGATGTCAAGAGTTATCCTCAGTTGTTTTTCCACCGTAATTAGAGGCAGGGTCTGTCAGTTAAACCCAGAGCTTACTGACACACAGCTAGTCTCCCCAACCAGCTTGTTCTGGAGTGGTGCCTTGTTTCTGCCTTTCGAAGCTAGAAGTACAGGTGGGCTGCCATGCCGCCCCCCCCTCCCCGGACGGGGTGCTTGGGATCCAAACTCCAGTCCTCACAGTTTCATGGCAAGCACCTTAACCAATGAGCATACTGTTTGAGCCTAGGCCTTGGGAGTTATAAGAGGTAGACTGTTTGTAACATTTGGCATGTCAGTTATGTATCTATGTGAACTATTCCACAGAAATCCTTAACTACCTTCACTTTCTGAGAAAACATATACAACAGGCTGCGTGGTCATCATAGTCGAAGAATACTTTGCTGCTGGCTTCAAGCACACACTTAACGAGCACAATCCTAATCTTACATCCTTCTAAAGTTCATAGAACTGTGTGTTTTCTGTTGATGTAGCCAGTGTCGAGAGTCTTCTCTGAAGGTTGCTTTGGTCACCTCTTAGAACTTTCTCAACTGTTTGCTAGGATACAGCGCCACATGCCAGCTCCCCCACTCCTTTATCACCCTGCGTTTACACATTCCATGAGTGCGGAGGGACGAACGTCACACAGGACAGAAAACAGGAAGCAGTGTTAACACAGTGAGTGCAGTGCGTAATAAAGAGCCCCAGTGTTTCCAGCTGTGGTGCAAATGCCACGGATGCCACTAGGTAGTGCAGGGGTTCTTTAGTTGAGTGCTTACATCTTGAGACTCAGTTTAAAAGTTCTATGAGTAGCTCTCAAGGGAACTGGGTTTTTCAGCTGTTGTACAGGTGTCACATGGATTCTTAGGGAACTCCCACATGTTTACACTGCATGCCTTCCCTTTCATATCTCCCCACATGACAATGATGTGGCTTGTTCAGTTTCCATGTGTTAGTGCCTTAACAGCATCTAGGAATTTCTGAACGAGCCAAGTACTGATGGTACAACAGTGAACAGACATTTCTGCTCTCGAGGGCTTACTCTGGTGGCAGAAATATTTGCTCTGTAGATAAGTACTTATGATATCATGTGGTGAGAATTGCTTTGTGGGAAAGGAAAGCTGGTAAAGAAGAAAGGAATATAGGAGAAACAGGGACATGTATTTAAATAAGTCTGGAGAAGGCCTCTAAGAAGGTGAGAAGCAAGGACCTAGGGGAGTAAGCTGTGCCTGTACCCATGAGGCGGACTTCAGTCAAAGAGCATTTCCTCAGCTGTCTGGAGTTGAGTGTGCAGTGTATTGCCTATTTTTCTGCTACATTTTGCTTTGATGTTCAGTTTAAACCCATGATACAAAGTGAGAGGAGGCTGCAAATGACTGCTAGACCTGCCGCCGGGCATGAAGCAAGAGAGTTGGTTGGAGAAATGGGTTGTTGTGATGGACTGCTGAACTCCGGGTATTCTGTCTTTAGTGCAGCTGCAGAGAAGCAGGGTCTCGTGGAGCAGCTGGAAGGCATGAGCTGAGAGCATCTGTGATTTCAGGGAGCCATGTGGGGCAGCAGAGTGGCTGCTGAGGCACTCAGACTTCACTGAAAACAGAAGTGCTTGTTCTTCATTCTCTCACACAAAACCATAATTATAATTGTCTCAAAACACAATTTACTTAAAAAAATTTCCGTATCAATTAAGATGGGTGATGTCCCTGTCATTTAGAAGGGCATTGAAGAGGACTGACTAAATATAATTGTGCAATTGAACCCGAAATCATAAAGACTTAGGGTAGACTGAAAACTGCCTGCCTCCTGAGTGGCCACAGTGCTGTGTGCACCAGCAAGTTTGGATCTGCAGCTAAAGGCTTGTTCTCAGCTCTGGGCGGTGCGGGAGCCCTCAGGTCAGACCTCACTGGAATAGAGTCTGCAGGATGCCTTCAGAAGGTCTCTTCTTTCCTCTAGAGAGGGCAGCTTCTGTGCTTTGTGCTCCTGCTGTGATGGAACAAGCAACCCTGTGCAGAAGCCTCCAAGGCTGAGCCAAAATAGACCTTTCCTCTTTTTAAGTCAGAAACAGAGAGCTGACCAATGCAAGTGTTTCCTGTAGGATGTATTTCTTGTACAGACGTTAAAATTGAAGTACAGAGAAAGTGTGACATTGTCTTCATTCACAGGTCCTTGAGGAATTAGGAAGCCTCTTGAAAAAACTGAGCACAGATGGGTATTCATCATGTTACTTGTACTCTTAACCCACTAGGAGTTGTTGGAGAGCTAGGTGCAGATGAGATAGAAGATGGGGAGCAAGAGTCAGAGGGAGCGGAAAGCCCTTAATTTACAATAGAGAACCCATCAGTGTGGCCTTGGCTAGCCTGCAGTGCTGTTGTGACTTGCCCAGAAGTTGCACTGAACCTTCTGCTTCAGCTTCCTAAATATTTGGCTTGTAGATACCAGCTGCTGTCTCACCCTTTAGTGCTTTTCTTAAAGTGATCTGATCCAGTTCAGATTGGGGTCTCTC